ATGTGTAAAATAAATAAAAATAAAAATCAAACTAAAATTTGGCAATTACAAAACAAAAGGCAACAACATGGGTCAGACATCGAGTCATAGGCAAAGCCTTTCGAACAGCCACAATCACAATAACAACAACAACAAGGATGAATCGAGTGCCATTGCTTCAGCTCAGTTTGCCAGTCGACGGACATCAGCACGCAAGTCGAAATCATCTTCGAAACACTATTCACCGTTACAAAAAGACGAGCTTTCAATATTACGCGATTCTTTGCTACGCAATGGCAGTATTATGCGCAAGAGCATGACCGATCCACAACGCCGCCCTGTTACCATAAGCGAGCTAACAACGACTCACGCTCAAGCACAAGCATCGAGCGTCGGCTCTGAGGATTTGCTTGTGAGAGAGCGAAGAGAGAGCTTTCAGCTGCCCATCGAATGCAGTGCAAAGGTGGAGGATGTGGCAGCGGCATCGGCTCCACGCAATGAGAATCGCAATGAATTTTACATTGTCGGCGATGGTTATCATAAGACGGATTATTGCCATTATCGTACCCCCAATGGTAATTTCCATAAGTTACCATCGGATTCGTTTCACAAAATGTCCGAAGGCTGCTTTGTGCGCATGGCTGATGGCGTATTCCGACGCCTTGAAGTACCAAAAGCTCAACAGATATCCCGTCGTGCATCCAAGCTCGACGATATCTCAGGCGCTGAGAGCAATGATAATGGCTTGGGCGGTGCCACCAGTGTTAAAAGACAGTTATTAAACTTTCTGAAGAGATCGAAGAGTCATACACCCGCAACAATTGCAAAGCTACAGAAAGACAAAGACGATGCTCGACTTGAACGAAAGCAACGTCTGTCGAATGCGATGCGACAAAGGGCGCTAGAATTGAAAACATCGTCATCAGTGACAGGTGCTAAACTCAACAATCCGAACAATAAAATCGTTGTTACTATGATTGAGAACGGAGGTCTACCGATCGTGGCCACCAGCAAACCCGATCGACCTAAAAGCAAGGAGAGCGCATCTGTTGTTGCTGACAAGGCGCGTACATCAAGGGTATGTACTGAACAAGGTGTGGGGGCCTTAAGATCGTAGAAAGTATTTGAAAAAAGTTGATTTAGATAAATATTTGCATACCTTGCGCCCGTTAAAATGTTTATAAAAATGTTTATTATGTTTCTAAAGAAAACATCTGCACTTTTCAATAAGATATATATGGACATGAACATTTTTTTTATACTACGGAAAAAATCGAATTTACTTTTTATTATCTGATTATTTAACTCAATGACCATTGAGATTTGACAATGATACGATATACCTTTATATATATATAAATAAAGCCTAAAGACTAATCGCATATTTTTATATTACTAGTAATATATAGTAATATAAATTATGATGTAATTTCTTTTAAAAATATATGGATATAAATCAATGTTTCGCGCCGTGGGTTCTTACATGGATCGTTATCTTGTGAAACATTTATTATAAATTCTTTGTTATTTAATACTTCTTAATGAAGGATGTCTTTTCTTAGTGTTATGAAAGGTTACTGGAGGTGTGTCTATATTTCCTCCAGATCTGTTCCACGCATATGGAGCTAGTGTCGACTCCATAAGATATAGTTTTATCACTTAATTATTGTCATAAAATTTCTGTTTGGCATGTCTAATCGCTTGTAATTTATTTGATATGAAGATATCGAAGCGAACTGCTGCGCAGACAAGCTGGGAACATTAAGAACTACCGGCTTCATCTTAAGAGAAAACTAGTTAAAAGTTTCTAATCTTAACTTGTTTCGAATCCCAAGCCGTTCTTACTTTCACTAAACAGAGCGATGACAAATGCACTAAAGAGTTTTATTCGCTTTATCGACTTCTGCAAAAGAATAGAGAGTGCCAGATGTCTTATGAGGAGATTCATTTGTATGTGTAATTACTATATACTATATATCTCGAATAATTGCTATGACTATGCTTTTGTTGGTCATATATAAAAGATCATCAATTCTAGATCATAGATCATAGATCATAGATCATAGATCATAGATCATAGATTTTAGATTTTAGATCATATACATCATAGATCGATAGAATCCAGACTATGGATCATAGAGCATAAATAAAATATCACATAGATTACAGATCAATAGAACATTGGTTATAGATCGTAGATGCTAAATATGAAATCATAGATCTATAGAATATAGATTAATGATCATGAATGACATATAAAAGATCATCGATTGCAGATAATATCATAGAGTAGAGTTACTATGGCTTATGAACTTTTTATTTTATTTTACAAAATACAATATTTTATTTTTATAATGACCACACAGTTAATGCTTTGTTTATTATTACTTTTTTTTACATTTTAACCATAAATTTACCTATAGAATTGAAAAATTTCTATCACAGCTTTAGCTGCCCGCCCCTCATAAATATAGACAGAAATTATTTATCGCAATAAAAAAAAAATTTGACCCAGTTTTAATTCACCGTGTAATAAAGATAAGCGTTAAATGGGATCGTTTTTAAACCTTTTCTAGAAAAAGTTTTTAAACAGTTCAATAAATCTTTAGTTAAATAACTTCGTGAGCATATTCTAATTATAAAAAGGTTTTCTCAATTTTGTATTTGGTTTAAATTTATATCTTGTTTTTATTTCATATACTTAGATGTAGATATCTTATATCTGAAATTCAAGAATTCGTTCGGCGTTTGTGTCTGTTTTTCAAGTCTGGAAGGGTATTCAATATTCAATTTGAAGAGTATTTATTTGTTTTTATGTTTCGATAAAAAACATCATTTCTGTGTTGTGCTGCCCACGTATCTGTTTCTGTTTTGTTTTTTTTTTTTTAAGTTTTGTATTTGTCTTTAGCAGTGAAAACATGTTGTGCCTCATCAGTGCCGCGCATACCCTATCCAATGTGTTCTTGGATATTGTCATCGGTTTTGGGCTTTATATAACAAGTTTAAGTTATTCTTTTGAATGCTGAATTAACCGTGTTTTTCTTTTGATTATTATTTCTATTTTATTTCAGATTGTCCAAAAAAAAAGAGAAAAAAACGAAAACCCGATTGTTCTCTATATCCAGCAATATATCACAAAATTTATATATAAACTATTTTTTTATTTATTAGGAATGCGTTGAAATTGATTATTTTAAATAAAAATAGGGCTCATTTGAAAATGTAGTATATAATATATATATATGTAGTATATATATATATATATATATATATAGAAGATAAGATTCGAAAAGATAATCAACAATGTATCTAGAGATGATACTGTTGACAATTTGCCTTATTTTAATAACCTCTATTTGACAGTCAAGTCTTATCGGAGTACACACTCCGCGTAATGAATCTTTTTATTTTATAAGTTTAAGCAGTTTATAGAATTTCGTTGACTTCATTTTCTGATTTATCCTGTGTATTCTACTAATTAAACAGATAAATGCTTATCTTTTTTATTGTATTACAATACATATTATTTACATTTAGTCAGTTTGGAGGACTCACATATATTCTATTAAAATTGAACTGGCTTATAAATAAGTATTTTTACACGATTATTCAACCTTAGCCTTCCCGTTTTTCCCAAGTTTAACATTTTTATATCAACTGGTAAATAACGATTCTCTAGAGGTACATTAGTTCCACAACCAGTTCGTCAAAAAAGCCTATTTTATTTTATACCGAAATATATAAATTACCTCGTTTACCGATCAAGAATGTATAAGGTTCTTTATCTCTTGCTCCATCTCTTTATCTATCTATCTCTATCTATCTATCTGTCTTTATCTCACTATATCTATGTCTATCTGTTTCTATCTTCTCGATCTCCCTGTACCTATATTTCTGTCCCTCTCTCTATATATATTTTTCTTCATCTGTCTCTTCGCAAGCTTTTTAAAGAAGTAAATATATTTCGTTTGAAACAACTCGATATAGATTAAATATTGCTATATATTTTTATACCAGTTAGCTTTCAAGTTTTATATATTTATTTTATTAATTCCCTTTTTTAGAGTCTCAATATTTATAGAGTATTCTGCTAAAGTACCAAATTTCGCACACAAACTTGTCTGACACTGTTTCTGTGTCAGGTAAGCTAACAATTTTCGTTATTTCTCAGCGTTACGCTCAGGTGATATCAGTATGTTCATACACGCACACATGCTTACGTGCATCCACACCAGCCTCACACTTACATAAGTATATAACCATGCATATAACAGAGTTCTTATCTAAAGTGTCGACTATAAGATACCCAGGGCCCTGGTCATAAAATGCATAATCGTTTACAGAAATAACTGTGTTACTCCCCTCTATATCATCTTACATTTATTAAAAATATGTAATAATATAACTTCTATTTGCTATTCATTTATTTATATTTGAATAATCTGAGGATACGTTAATAGTTATACCCTGATGATATACTTAAAAGCAACGCTGCTAATCAATAATTATCGATTTGTGCGGATATTAAGTTGTATAGATTCTAATTTTAAACGTCTGTATCTATTAAAGTGCCTGAAAATTGGGTCGGAGATGGAGATGACTCCGTCTACCAACTTGGACAACTTTTTTATACATATTTTGAATGGTCCAGGGTATACAAATCAGCGCACCAAACGAGCTCTTTGTCAAGAATAGACAGATATGGTGGAATTGAAAACTGGTGTGTATATGTGTGTGTTAGTGGGTGTGAGTGTATGTGTGTATTTGTAACTGAGCGTGTGTATGTGTGTGCATTTTGAGTATTTCTTTTATAAGTGTTTGCGTGAGTGCGCGCGGAATACACTAATACTAGTGAGAGAACCACACCAACAAGCGATATTTGCTTGTATATGTGTGTGCGCGCGTGTGTGTGCATGTATGTATATGTGTATTGAGGCCGACTTTTCTGTCTCTGACTCTGCTGTTGCTTGGCGTATGTTGTTGCTGGTATTGATACTGGAAGTACTCGTACTCCAGTTGCTGCTGTTACTGTGGCTAAAGTGGCTGTTGGCTGTGTTAGCTGCTGAGCTGTCGCTGTAGCTGTCACTGCCTGTTGACTGTAGTTGACTGCTGGCTGACGGCGTTTACGTCAGAGTTACAAACTGTGCTTATTTAAGAAATCTAAAGCAGAGTGTATATATATATGATGAATACTTATCTACTTATAGTATAAATTCATACAGTTGTGTTTCTCTCCAATTACACACCGCATACGATTGATAAGATCTCCGATAAAAATATAAAACGAGCATTACAATGTTAAATATCTATGAAACAGGCAACGAAATGTTTGCTTTTCCATAAGTGAAAATTTTTTTTATTGTCTGAGAGTGGCTTATTTACTATGTTCTTGTGCTCCAGTGTATGAGGATGGAGTGACGTGACTGTGTGTGTGTGTATGTTTCTATGTGTGCGCGTTAAAGCTTTTCGCTCTCCGAGCAAGAAGAACTGAACAAAAAAGTGCGCTCGCACCAGTAACTATTAAATTTAAACAGACTTAACTACTGAATTTAAACTATTTACATACATATGTATGTATAAAACGAAAATTCCTAATGAATCATAAATAAAGAGAGCAAGACGAGAGCGCAACCAAACGTGACGCGGTCACAGAACACAGAGTGTGAGAGAGGGCCTCTTTACTGAACTTGTGCAACAATCGTCTTGCTGAGCGCGAACGTGAGCGTAAGCCGACGTAGTCTTTAGCAAATACCAAATACATATGCATACACACAAGTACAAATGAACTTATATGCATTGGTTGCGATAGCAGTTACTTTTGCACAGGTGTCTGTGAGCATAAGTGTATGTGTATGCTCTCACTCTCCATCTTTTACGCTCTCACAATTCGTTGCTTTTTCTCGCACTCTGCTGCGTAGAAGTGTGTTTCTTTCAGTGTCACCAAACTCAGATTAGCTCTTGTCTATGAGTTGGCTTTTGTCGTAAATATTACGTTCGCTTTCGCACTCGCCATATGTGTGGACATTTATATTTGTAACTACATATACATATATAAGCAATTGCATTTGAGTTAGTGTAAGCGTGTGTGTGTATATGTGTATGTGTCTTCGAAGTTTTAATGCGCAGCAACAGCGACTTGTTGAATTAAATATAAGTATGTTCAATAGCAAAGAGACAACGCCAACAAACAAAGTGCCGTTCATTCAATCTTTTGCGGCGAAAGCAAAAAGAGCTTGCAAGACCAAAAAAATATCAAAACACACACAAATACACCTATGAACATTGGACAGGCTACGCATACTAATGCATCTGCCAGTGTGTCATGTGCAGGCTGCAAGTGTATTGGTATTAGATTGACTCAAGAAAAAGCGCTTAACTAGGAATTAAGTGAAAAATCAAATACTAATACTTCTCTAAATGCCCAATTATATAACCATACAAAAAAAAAAAAAAAACAAAAATTTGAATAATTTGAGAGAATGATGATAAAGCAGTATACAATATATATTTTAATTTATATATTTTAAATTTAATCGTGCCTGGCTTTAAGGGAAATCTGTTAACTGATTGTGCACTGATTAGATGTAGTTGAGTTGTTTTTAAGGTGTTTAATCGACATTCACTGCTCGAAAAAGTTTCGCTACATTGAAAGTGCTTTCTCTTCGTTATTGTCAATAAGAAAATAATACAATTTAATAAAATGTGATTCGGACTTGAACTCGTTTTTCGACCAAAATAAAAACTTTTAAGTGAACTTGCAAACAAATTGATCGATATAATTATATATGATGAAAGTTAAGCCGATTACAAAAACATTTTGAGTGAATATTTTGATATATATTATATGTATGTATATATATAATATATATATTAAATATTATCAAAAAATTTCTTTAATGAATACAGAAAGTCTGACTAAGCTTCTATGATAAAACAAAAAATAAAGTGTCTAACTAAAAGCAGTGCAAAGTAAAAGAAAAAAAAATTAAAGAAAAGTGATATTCTAAAAGAAAAAAAACATAAATGGATCGTGGTGTACAACCGGAACCGACAGCGTCACCCAAAATGGAGACAACTGCGCCGGACCTAAATCGAGGGGATGCTTCGCGTAAAAGCGTTCGCCTCTATGCAGCACGCAAAGGCTTAGCGCCAGCGCCGCCCAAATTAGGGCTGGGTACAAGCAGCAGCAGCAGCAGCAGTAGCAGCAACAATACCAACAACAATAGTGAAAATAAGAATAACAACAATAGCAGTGATAGCGACAGCTTGCCCCAACACAGGAGACAACAGTTTGCCAACAGTTCAACGACTGCTAAGGAAATCGATCTCAGCGATGCGCAGCATGTGGACTATGATGCAGTCGTCGAATTGCGTAGGCCAGGTGATATAGCAGTGCCACTGCCACGCGTTGCCGTTTCAGCTATACCAGCGCTTCACCTACAGAGCCAGAGTCAAAGCCGGCCAAAGGTAGCGCCACGTGTTCAAATGTCTGCCGAAGATGATGTGGGCGTTGCTTTTGCATTGGGTTCAATTGAGAAGCATATACTCAATGTGGAGGAAAGTTTCAAACAGCAACAGCTCAGTGAACAGCAGCAGCAGCAGCAGGAACAGTCTCAGTCATCCATGGATGTGGTCATACGCAAGCAGAGCAAGCGCTATGGCGAGACAGAGAATTTACTGCGGCCGGGTATTAGCGATATGTCATCCGAGAATGACTTTCAATATCTGGGCGGACGTCGATCCCAGCTCGATGATAGCAACGAGCAAATGATGACTGAGTTTCAACGCGGCAGCGACGGACGCAATTCAATTGGTGCCTATTCGAAGAACTCCTCAGGTACGGTTAGTGGTCGGCCAGGAGCGCTAAAGGCTAAGCTCGCTCGCACTGCCTCGGATACGAAAAACACGGACACGGTGCTGGCTATGCGTGCTAATCTGAAACAGAAAGAGCATCAGCATCACGATGCCAAGCATCAGCAGCAGCAGCTGCAGCAGCCTCCTTGGCGACCGTCAACCAGTCAAGATCGTCAAGCTCCAACGCCAGCTGCTAGAACCTCGGCGAGCAGAGGTAACAGCAGCACAAGCGTTGTGGACGGAGGCTCTGCCTCAAAGTTGACAGCGACAACAATTTCAGCTAGTAAGCGACGCGAGGAGAATTTGCGTCAATTTGAGGCGCTGCTGGCACAGAAATCAACGCATCGTCATGCAAACGCTGCAGCTGCATCGAGTGGCACCAATGCGACATCGAGCAGTCATGCGTCGGCATCTGCGGCATCAAAACGTCGATCGGAGCGTCCCATTGTCGCACCAATACCACCATACAGCTCCAGTCGCCCAGATACTGGTCCTCTGCCCGTCGAGCCGCGATCCACCAGCTCCGGGTCCGGACACCATCGCACTCCAGCTACCAATGCAGCTGTCACACGTACCAATGTATATGGCAACAGTGTTGCTCAGGTAAACCAATCTAAAGCGCAGTTCAAATACATTTTTAAACATAGAACTACTTTTAATAATACCTCAGGGGCGGGGAGATATCTCATAACTATTTAGCAAGATTCAATTAAAATTGACGGTAAACTAATTAGTGTTTGAATTTGTCTCTTTTTGCAGGGTTCCCCGAATCTGCAGATGCGAAGCAGTGCTCCGATGCGATGGCGTGCCACTGAGGAGCATATCGGAAAATATAAGCTCATCAAGACGATCGGAAAGGGAAACTTTGCCAAAGTCAAGCTAGCAAAGCATCTGCCTACTGGAAAGGAAGTAGCAATAAAAATAATTGACAAAACCCAACTAAATCCTGGGTCACTTCAGAAACTTTTTAGAGAGGTTAGCTATTCACATATAAATAGATAATTCTAATCATATACTGAAATATTCCATTTCTTATATTATATATAGGTTAGGATAATGAAAATGCTTGATCACCCCAACATTGTTAAACTTTTTCAAGTAATCGAAACGGAAAAGACGTTGTATCTCATCATGGAGTATGCCTCAGGTGGTGAGGTTTTTGACTATTTGGTACTACATGGGCGTATGAAAGAGAAGGAAGCGCGTGTTAAGTTTCGTCAAATTGTATCGGCTGTGCAATACTGTCATCAGAAGAGAATAATACACAGGTAGGCATTCTATATAACTCGGTTCACAGGGTCTTCCTACAGCAGGCTTTACGGATCAAGAAACAGAAATCAGAATCGGAAATTTGAACAAAGTTCTAAATGCAATTTGTCATTTACTTGCAATTTGGACCTTAAACTTTTCATATATGTCGTATCAGACAAGTGTCATCAGCGAATTCGCATTCATTTCTAATGGAGCTTATCAAACGTATAGACGTCTGTATTTTATGGCAGTTTAACATACAATTTCCGATTCGAAATCTAGGCAAAGAATTCTTTTAATAATATTTGTGAGTCATTTTTGACTGAACAAACACAGAGAATAATTCAATTTTGTCAAACATATCTATCTATATCTTATCTATAACTTTATCGACTTTAATATTTGTGTGATTTGTTTACTTTTCCTAACAGGGACTTAAAAGCTGAGAACTTATTATTAGACAGCGAGCTGAATATAAAAATAGCTGATTTTGGATTTTCGAACGAGTTTACGCCAGGTTCAAAGTTAGACACATTTTGCGGCAGCCCACCCTATGCAGCGCCCGAGCTCTTCCAGGGTAAGAAGTATGATGGACCGGAAGTGGACGTGTGGTCATTGGGCGTTATACTGTATACGTTAGTGAGCGGATCCCTGCCTTTCGACGGTTCCACTTTGAGGGAGCTACGCGAACGCGTACTCAGAGGCAAATATAGGTAAGATGCGTATATACCTATATAGATAAAACTATAGATGTAATAATGTCTTTTTCTATATTATATAGAATTCCATTCTATATGTCAACTGATTGCGAAAATTTGCTGCGCAAGTTTCTAGTACTAAATCCTGCTAAACGTGCTAGTCTTGAAACAATCATGGGCGATAAGTGGATGAATATGGGGTTTGAGGATGATGAGCTCAAGCCCTATATAGAGCCAAAACAAGATTTAGCCGATCCCAAGCGGATAGGTAAGACGGGTACTGTATACGAAATTCATTACTAATATTATTAACGAATTGTGTGTCAAAAGTTTTGCCTGTTGATTATTTTTGTATTTTCTTGCAATTGATATATCTATATATATATATCGTATTCTATTGTGATGTAAAACAGTATTTCAATTTGAATATTTTTAATTTTGTTTTGTATACTCAACATATATACACATATGAAAAACAATATGCCCCGTTTGTATACTTTATAATTTCGATTATTATTGTATTTTGTTGTTAGTTTGCTACATACATAAATACGTACATATTTGCTTAAAAATTCTCATACAGCTGCGGGGGTACAAACCGGAGTTAAAGACAAAGCATCGGCATCAGCATCAGCATCGATCCGACGCAGTGCATTTGACTTGATGTTAATGATGATCTTTTTAATCGGCGAATGGAAAGTGCCACACCAAAATGTATGCAATCCCTTGTGGAGAAACGTTATTTTGGAATGGCAATCATCATTAAATAAATAAATACTCTTTGTTTCTCTATCTCTTACAACTTCTTTATTTTATTTCTTTGCTTCAAATTATCAAGATCTGCCGGGAGAAGAAATAAATCATACCTGATATATATATATATATATATATAAACTTTCATATTATATATATATATATATTATAACTATTTCTAAATGCTTCATCAGGGTTTCATTTATTCGAAACTTTTCAACACATATCTCCGGTTTGCGTCCTTAAATTCGATACGATAATAATCTTAATATGTACCTATGTATGATGATAAAAAAAAAATATATATTTTGTTGTTATTTCAATAAATGCATGGCAATGTTGTAAACTTTTGTTAAAATATGATTAAACAAACTAAAAAAAAAGAAAATTAATCTGTAACTCTTCTGAAACTAAAGGCTTATATAGAGCACACAATTCTGGCAGTACTCGAACAATTTGCGAGAACTGTTCAAGCTAAAATATTATGTAAATGTAATGAATTTGCATGTAATGTATACCTATCGACATTTGTAACTACCAAACTAAATCATTTATACATATATGAATACCCAAAGAATATAATTATATTAAATGCCTTGTCAAATTTTCTTTTGACAAATGTATAGAAGCTCTAGTCGCAATGGGCTACAATCGACAAGAAATCGAAGCGTCGCTGGCTCAGGTGCGTTATGATGACGTGTTCGCCACGTATTTGTTACTGGGTCGCAAGAGCACTGATGTAAGTGTGATGCGGTTTCTTTTTTGTTTTGAATACCCTGGAACTATATATTTCGTTTGCTTTCCTGCTCTGCCCTTCGCTTAGCCTGAAAGTGACGGGTCACGATCCGGATCATCGCTCTCACTGCGCAACATCTCTGGCACTGAGGCTGGGGCTAATGCTGGCAATGCGATCGTGCAAAGTCCCACACATCGTGGCGTACACAGAAGTATATCGGCGTCGAGTACCAAGCCAAGTCGTCGAGCTTCGTCCGGTGCGGAAACGTTACGTAAGTCCCATAACGGGGCTGCAATTTAGTGACAATGACAATAACATGTTTGTATAATTTCCCACAAACCAGGTGTTGGACCCGCAAATGCCACAACAACCGTTACGGCTGCTGCAATAGGCGTGGCGCCTGTCAACCCAAGCAATAATTATAATGCTGTTGGATCAGCCGCCGATCGTGCATCAGTGTAAGTCTAGCCTAAGTTCTTTCAACATGTGTGAATAGTTAGAAACTAGAATGTTTGAAGCAACTGCCCAATAAAATGGGTCAGGGTATTTCCAAGTCAGGCACTGCCAACTAGAGTACTCTTTCTCCTTAGGTAGAGATAAATATAGCAATAGCATCTATTTTAATATACATATATAAGTTTCTCTTGTCATATCATTTGTCTGCTGAGGTGTCATTTCTCTTGCTAGACAAGACTAAATATACCTAGATGTATACTGATACAAATTCTTAGTCTCAGGCTATCAGGTACATATTAATATAGATAAAGTGCGAATGTAAATTATCACAAAGTCGTCGACTTGCCTTATATAACATTTTATATTTACTGAATAATTTATCATTTCTATTTACAGTGGCAGCAATTTCAAGCGTCAAAATACCATAGACTCAGCAACAATTAAAGAGAATACGGCACGGCTGGCCGCACAGAATCAGAGACCAGCGTCTGCCACGCAGAAGATGCTAACCACAACAGATACATGTAACTGCAATACGCTGTTAACTTCTCTATCAAATGTCACACTTTTAATCGGTTTAATCTTTGGTTACAGCGCTGAACAGTCCAGCTAAGCCGCGGACAACTGCGAAATACGATCCCACTAATGGAAATCGCACAGTTGGCGGTACGAGTGGCATTATACCACGACGTTCGACCACACTCTATGAAAAGACTTCATCGACGGAGAAAACCAATGTTATTCCTGCAGAGACAAAGTACGTGAATGTGGTAAACGTAACGGTGTATTATCGTTATCCCTCCTGTTGGCACACCCATAATGATTTTCGATTATATTTTGCCTAATTTTCCGTAATATGCATTAGTTATTTGTTATCGTTATCGTTATTGTTATTGTTATTTTAACTGACATTCGTTGGTCGACTCGCAGAACGTTTTTCAATTTGAAAATGATTTTTTTAGTTGGACAGCCAGACAGACAGTTAGTGCCTCTCGCTCGCTAGTTTTATATTATCATCAGTATATATATATCGATTTCTTCTCAGTTTGCACATATTTATGGTTAGTTTAACAAGTATATAAACAGATAATGTTATGTTGTGTATAGAGCATATGTACATATCTAGATTATCAGTATATATTACTATATACATCTATATATATATATTTCAGCGCACAATTGAGTTTTTCTATTATTTCTAAGTTGCAAAACCAAAAATCAATTATTATCAATACCTTTTGTTCATATATAACTATATATTTTCGTATAACGAGGTGTGGGTTATGTTTTTCAAAATGTATATGTTTAGTTTTAAAACAGAAAACAAAATCAAAAACAAAATCTAAACAAAAGAAGCTCAATCCATTGCAACTCGAATGACAATGACTACAACATATTTACAATTTTTGCCAATTTTTCGACTAAACATATATGTATAAACGTAACCAGCAGTGGATCTGCAGCTACCGCTGGAAAGGGTCACACAAAAAGCGCCTCTATTTCAAGCCCTAGGCCATCCACTGATGGATGCATATCAGTATCAATTGACCCACTTGGATCGAGGTATACACTTGCGTCATACATTAGCAAAAAAACATTAAAACTAAATTTAATCCAATTTAAAAAAAAAAAAACAATTTTTAATTATTGTTAATATTACAAAACGTTTTTTTTATGCTCCTTTAAAAATCAAATTGGCCGCTTTTTGTTTAAATCTTTTATGATTTGAGTGAAAGTTTTGCAAACGTTTTACATTTGTTTTAGAGCAGAACAATATTAATTCAATTTTGAATTTGGTCCTTGATATTGATATAAATTGAAGCAGGTGTAATTAGGCCAGTCAGTCAGTCAGACAATTGGGATTTTACGTGTGTGACCAAAACCTCTGTCCGACAGTCGAACTGTTTTTCAACCTTGTTGTAGAACATTTATTTATTTTCTTTTGTTTTCTGTGCTCGTCCAAAAACTCACAATGTTGCAGATGTTTAGCATTTCATTAATTAGTTTTGACGTTTGTCGTGCAGCTGAGCAGCTGAGTTTTTGCATGTTTGCCTGCAAATGCATTCATCTGAGTGTGTGTAGTCTTTTATTTAAATACACTTATACACGTGTCGAATCATACACTCGAATAGGTTTCAAAATGCAAGGGGATAAGATTTTTCATATATATTTATTTAGCATATTTTGAGCAGATTTATATAGCTCAGACACTTAAGACAAGAAGGCCCAGAAAGTACAAATCTTTTGACATTTGAAAGCAAAGTCAGCTAATTTATCAGGCTTAATTCTGTTTACCCTATCGTAATTTTAGCTACTATATGAAAGCTAGGTCTATAAATCAAATAGATATACGTATTATAGGCCCAAAGTCTATATGAAAACAAGTTCTATATTCTTTATATTCTTTGACACAGACCAAAACTAAACAAAGTTATTGTCATTACCATATAAAAGTTTATTCAGATAGTACAGTTAAATATATATAAGTCTAACTTTTTGATTATTTGAGAAACAGAGTAATTTTGTTATTCAACAGATGTTTGATAGCAATATTTCAATTTCAATTCAGTTTAGTTTTATATATAGAACTGCTTTACAGATCTAGTAATCAATAGAATTTCCAATTATTGTTTCACAAATATGAATATTTTACTATTTTTATGGCCTACGTATAGTCTGCTTTCGTTTGTTTACAGTTTGTTGTCATATATTCGTTTAGCTGCAGATTTCTTACTTTCTTTTACTAATCCGATTGAGTTTTGAAAAGAGAAAACAATGTAGAAATGTGTTTGGTTTAATACTATTTTGTTTATTTTTATTATAACACTCTAACAAATTTGATCCATTAAATAATGTAAATTTCTTATCTTTTCATGTTTTATACAATTTTGAACAATAACTGTTTATAAACCAATTGTCTAATTTTGATAACTACCACACTACTACTACTACATACATCCAATCTTTGTGGCGATCAATCGAACCAAACTCTACAACAATCTCCTTCGTATAATCGGTGTTCGTAAAAACTTTTATCTCTCACATTTTTTACAAACAAAAAAAATATGCAAATTAAAATCCCGTTAAAAAATGTGATTTTGAATTCGAATTATCGATTCAAATAAAACATAAAAATTAATTTTGGATTCGTAACCCCCGAACCGATCCGATCCGATCCGAACCGAAACGAAACGAAACGAACAAACTTTGGTGAGTGAAATTTGCAAAACAAATATATTTTAAGCGAGAAAAACATATAAGTATACTAAATAATTTAGAGTAATTCCTTTTTAAATTGCTTTACACATATTGTGGCATGCGCGGTATTAAGTCCAGATAATATATATTCTCTTCTATTTGTTTTTGTTATTATTAAACCTAAATGAGATTATGTCTGTTAATGCGCTGAAACAAACTTAATATGAATGTACTTTGTGTCTGCATAACAGTTGATGATGACAATAATGTAGGTAGTTCCTAACGAGATTTGCTCATCACATAGACATAGATATAGATCACGTAAATTCTTCATTGTGCATGACTGAGGCTCCAGTTCCCAAGTAACTTCACTTCCGACAACTTGTTCTCATTGGTAGATCGAAAATTATTTTATATATATATATATACCCATAAGTTGATGTTGTAAATTCGATTATATAATTCGATTGTGTCTATTTCTCTTTCGACATCTTTGTGTATCTATCTAACTGCCTATCTAATCTGTTTTATATTTTTACTACATTTTTTAGTGGATCTCTTGAAACACACATACTTAAATACTAAGTAATACAGAAGACAAACTAACAATAATTTATATGTTTAATAGGCCCAGCTCTACTATAGCTGCTATGTATGAATTTTAATCAAAGTTAGGTTTAATTAATTATAATAAAATCGAAATAATGGTATATGGTCTTCAATTAGACGTGTCCACATATGTACTTTGCTTATTGCTTAACGCTTAGTTCCATCCATTATGTCAACTTTGAAAACTGAACGTTTTTTGCGAGTACATCTCATATATATCATCCATTTAAGGACTGTTTTCAGACTTTACAAGATATATCCACTCAAAAAATTACTTTGTTTGAACTCTTTTTGCCATCAGTTTCCATCATTAATTCAAATACTTGCTTTAACAAACTCTATTATATAGTCGATTTCTATACTTAATTTCTATTTTTAAGAACGTAATTTTAAGAGCTCGTTTTTTCTTTCGAAAAAAGTTTACATGATTGATTTTTTAAATCTTTTTCTTTTCATTTTGTTTGTGTGTCTACCAACATGATTACAAAAATAAACCCAAAATATAAACAATCATAAAAAACGTTACCAAAAACCGTTGCCAAACCATCACATTAATCAAAATATATATATAATCTGCTTGATTCGCGCTTGATTCTCGTCTGTACACATATTTTGTCATTGCGCCAAATTGAAAATACAAATTCAAATTACAATCGATAACGAAAACAACGAAAACAACGATGAAACACACTATTGATACATGCCCATCACTATGGATTGGAAAATAATCGAAATTGAAATTACAATCGAATTCACATGCATAAATCGAAATTGATTTGATGATGACAACCACACACACACACACACACATGAACCGTCTTCCACTTCACTCACACACACACACACTCACACATGCCAAAAACGAATTTGAATTTGCCTGTCTATATTAACGGTCAAAATGTTTACACACATTGCACAAAATATCAAATGATAAAACTATAAACTGATATATATATATAAAAAAAAAAATACATTCGTTTTCTGATATATGCAATTCATTGGACTATATATAACTACGAACTGACTGAATGATTCGATCGATATCCATTCATACGTATGTGTGTGCATACATGTGTTGTACTTGTACATATATATATATTATATATATATATATATATATATAGTCTGTTCGATCGACTTAGAATGGCATCGGCTGTTAAATCAAGCAGACACTTTCCAAGGAATGTTCCATCACGTTCAACCTTTCACTCTGGTGAGTTTTTCTGTTTTAATTATTTTTATTAGTTTTAGTAAAACTTAACTTAATTTTACTCACAACTTTACTAAAAAACAAACATTTTACCTAGATTAAATTAAATAATAATATCGAATTATCGAACTATCAAATTTTGTTAAATTTTTTTTTTATAATTTTTTTCTCTTCTCATTAAATCATAAAAAAAAATAAATGTAAATTGCATTAGCACGTAAAATAAATAAAAATTGTAAATTTAAGACTTAATTATACGAATGCTTCATTATTGTTATATAAATATTAATATTATTATTATTATTACTACAATTATTATTATTACTGTATGCTATTTTGTGCTTTGTTGTTGTTGTCTTATGCATCCGCCCAACATCGCTTCTCATCTTTTAGTGGATTGCTTTACCCTAATTTAATGTTCGTTTTGATCATGCACGATTGTCTAAATCGAAAGATGCATTGTTATATATTAAACATAAACATTATGATAATTGCACGTAGGTGCTTAAAGCAAGCAAGTATCTATAGTTTTAGTCTACTGCAAATAATCGATAAATATATCGTTTATGAATATATAAGGTTTTAAATAAATCTTTATTTAAATATTATTATGTAAGACTATTGCAATCGGCCGTCACCGAGTGCGTAATACTCGTTCACAATTTTAAAGTAAAATTTGAGTTATTAAAAAGTCTACTTCTCTCTAGATTAACAACGATCCATCTGCAAAAGTTGAAGCTTCTAGCTCTAAGACTAAGACTATATAATTTTAGATCAATAGGCTGTGGAAAAATATTAGTCGAGATTAAATTAACTGCAAAAATTATTGATCATAGTTGTAAAACTAAGATTACTTTACGTTCATAGGCGGAAATATATAATTTAGAATTTACTACTCGTAAAACTCTATATCTGACAAGGTTACACATTAGGTTATATAATATATAATATAATATAATCTATGATCATACGGACAGGCAAACGAACGGACATCTAGAGAGACACGTAAGGAATATACTCTTTTATTTCGTGAACGAGCATTCTTCCACGTTTTCGGGAAGAAGTCAGATTGGTAAAGATAAAAGATAGATTAATATGTATATGAATACATGGATGAACTTTCATATATATATATAAAGTTTAATTAATTTATTTATTTAAAGATACATAGTTTTATAAATATCAAACCCAATTACTCTTGGAGATTAGTAGCTAAAAAGTTGTCTAAAGTCGTTTAGTCTTATTAAAAACCACTTAAAGTTAAGATATTATTACAATTATAAACAATTATAAGAATATTTAACTAGTGTTAATTGTATTGAATATATATATAAATATATTCTTTTCAATCTAGAATTAACTATCTGAAACTTTTCGTAGTTCTGTGTGTTTCTAGTAAGCTTAGCCAATGTTTATTTGTTTTGTTTAGTCCATAATTTATGGCTAATGGATTCATGTTTATTGTTGTAGGTCAAACCAGGGCAAGAAACAACACGGCGCTGGAATATTCCGGTACGAGTGGAGCATCCGGTGATTCCCCTCATCCGGGTCGCATGAGCTTCTTTTCGAAACTTTCCTCCCGTTTTAGCAAACGGTAAGTGTGCCCCGGCATATCATATCAATTATATTTGATTTTATTTTTTATTTTTTGTTGTTATATCTTCTCTACAAATTACAAGAAAAGCAAATGCAGTTAAAAAAAATTTCAAAAATTTTCAAATTTACAAATTTACAAATTTTTATTTTTTGATATGTTTTTGGTTTTATAAATTTATTTTTGGATTTATAAATATATTTTTTTTGTTTCATGTTTCATTTACACACATATATGTACATATGTATGTGTTTATGTTTTGTACCAAATCCGTTCTATTGTTTTTTTTTCTTTTTTTTTTTTTCAAATAATAAATTCAAAAATTTAGGGCAGACCCTAGAAGTTAAGACGAAAATTCTCTTGAAGTCTTTCTAACTAGTTACAAAATTCACTAACGAAATATATATAAAAATAAAATAAAAATTAAATTATTTCATATATATTTTGTTTTTGTCAAATTGTAAACAAAATAAAATCTTTAGATAAATTTTATTGAATTAATATTGACAATTAATAATGATATATAGAACTGTTGAAATCCTTCCGAAATAAGATATAATATAGTAAACAAGAAGCTGAATTCTTACTAAAATCGGAATTTGAAATTAAAAACAGAATTCCCCTATCATAAAGTGAAAATAAAATTGGGTAAATTTAATTATTAATTAAATATACTATAAACAATTTTTTAAATTTTTTATATATTTTTTTTCAATATTTAAATTAAATTGAAAATTTTCAATGTTTTGAAAAGCAGTCAAATTACATTAAAATATTATCCATTTGTTTACTTGATCTTACATTACTTTAAATTGAAATTGAATTGAGTTTGTTTAGTTTGGAATATCTCGAAAACTTTGATGTACTCGGGTGTTGGGTAAATTCTGGTTTCAGATTCGAATTCCAATTCGGCAAGCTTTGGATTCTTGTTTACTACAACATTTTTGATCTATGTATTCCCATTAAAATATTGATAGTTTTTTTTTAAAGAAACAAAAATATTTAAAAAATAATATTGAACTAGAAATTTAAATTAAAATTTAACTAAAAAGTATATAGAAAGCTTTCATTCCATAAGTTTACGTTTTATATAGAGGGCAGATGCTTCGCATTTTTATATTTATTTTTATTAATTTTTTTATTACTGTTTTGCATGTTTTTTTTAAATTGGTTTTCAAAATTCTTTCAAGTAATTCAAAAATATTTTTGAAAAAATTAAAAATGATTTTTGGTTGCATGCAAATTGTTTTTATTTTCTATTTTTAATCAAATTAATTATTATTTTTTTGGTTGGTTTTTTCATTTGTTTTCTTTTTTATTCTAATTCATTGAAACTAACAAAATGTTGAAATAAAAATATGAGCAAGTATATGCTAATATCATAAACACGAAATACATATGGAATTATGTACACCCACACACCCACACACATACACTCAGGGGTAATTGGTTAAGAATGAATTTGATTATTTAAACAAATAAATAAGTAAATAAATATATATAAAAAACCAAATCTAAAAAGGAATAAACTTCGGTTATTTGAGATTCTTTTAGACTGTTTTGATTTTCATCAAACTCAATTCGCGGATACAAAACAAATACAAAACTTCGCATACATACATATGTAACTATATAGACATATAGATATATGTATATACAGATCGGAATGAACAGCATCCAATTGGGCAAGCATTGCACTGCGAGATCTGTTTTAGTTCGATTTGAGATATATTCAATCGCTCTGTCGCGCGCTCTCCGTCACTCTTTTACTTTCTATTTATTGTTATGTGCATAAGCAGGGTATTAAGTCTTCTGTATGTCCTTCACATCGACTTCTTCTTCCTATTCTCTTTTTTTATGTACCCATGTTTGTGTATATACATTATCATGCCACTACTTAGGAGCCTTAAGAACTGTATATCGTCTGAATTTTTCTTCATTTTCAAATAAAGTTTAAAATTAAATTATTTGTTTTTACAAAATTTTGATTATATAAATTGAAAAAAAAATTGCGTTTACTTTTCTTTTTCCAAATATATCAATGAAGAGAAAAAAACAAACAAAAGAAAACAAATGAATAAACAAATAAAAAAATGTTTTATTTTCTATATTCTTTTTTTTTTGGTTTTAAACATTTTTTCCGTTTTTCTTTTTTTATATTTCATTTCTCGTATTTGTTTTCTTCTTCTTCTTTTTCTTCTTTTTTTTTCACCCATTATTAATATTTTTTCCAGCCGTGAATAATTTGTTTAAAATTTTTTCTTTAATTTTAGGCCAAACCAGTAATTAACAAACAAAAAACAAGCATTAACTACTTCTTGTTAATAGTTCTAAAACTGAAAACAAACAGAAACAAACGATTCCCCTAAAGTAAACGCTCGTGACGGAGAGATAACAGAGAGAGAGACAGATAACAGAGAGAGAGACAGAGAGAGAGAGATACAGAGAGATAAAGTTATGATTAATACAAATCAGAGATCAGAGATCAGAGCGGTTTTGATTCCTTCCGATTCGATAAGCCCCTCCTCCAAAAGAACATCGACAACGTTGAGTTCCGTTACCGTTATCGTTACCGTTTACCGTTAATAGAAATTCACAAAAACAAAAACAAAGCGTCTATGTTTTAATACAATTTATTAACTAATTATACTTACACATTTATATTAATTAAAAGATACATATATATATATATATTTAAAGTAAACAAAACAACAACAGAAAAAAGAAAGAAAAACAAACGGAAAACTTTTTTTTCTTCTTTGTTTGTAAATTAAATTTAATTTTAATTTGATTTGATTTGATATAAAAATAAAAATAAAAAACAAATTTCAAATCAATCATGAAATTATAATAATAGAACTGTTGCCACATATGTTCTGCTGCTGCTGCTTCTTCTTCTTTTTTTGCTAACTTTAAAAAGAAAGAAAAGAAAAGAAAAGAAAAGAAAAAATATTATTAATATTAAATGCGAAACGCAATATTTTAATTGTAGATATATATAGAGATATATGTGTTTATGTATATATATATATATATATATATATAATTTAAATCAAATGAATATTATATATATACATATATATATACTATGCACACCCAAAGCAGCTGCGAGTTATTAAAAAAAATAAATTATAAATTGAAATTGATTTCAAGAACATTTTGTATATGTAGTCTATCCATGTATGTATGTATGTACGAAGGTATATGTATTTATAAACTGTTTCCGAGTATCATCATATACAATCACCGATCGATAAAACGAAATAAAGTTTGATATAAAAAATAAACATAAACAAAAACTGATTATTATGAAGTTGAAGCTGAAGCTGAAGCCGAAGCTGAAGCTGCAGTTGGAAGTCTAAGCGCATCAAAGAAAGCGTCTTTTAGTCACTTAAGAACAATGATTAAATTAGTTAACGTATACATAAATATAAATTTATAAAAGTAAACTGAAAAGCAAATGTATTAATATATGTATGTGCATGTGAGAGCATTTCATTTGTACAGCTGATTATTAACTGTAAATCGTGTTACCTTCGGGCACCTTCAGTGCGCTGAGCTAGTTAATCTATATTAAGTTTCAAAGAAGAAAACAAAAACACAACACTAACAATAATATAATATATGATTAAACAAATAAATACATTTAATTAATTAGCAATAAATTATGTGGATTAAATTTGTTAATGAAAGCAAAAAATATTTAAACTTCAAAGCAATTTGACATTTTTATTTCTTCATTCCCCCACCCCCATCAACATCATCATCTTAATATCATCCCAAAAAATATTTATCAAACAGGTATATTTTCATGTTTTTTGAAATAAATATTTTTAAATTTTGTGTTTGATAATGCCATGAAAATGAAGCTTTTAAATATTTCTTAAATAATTTCTAATTGACTTCGAAACAAGAAATTCTATTCATAAAGTTTTTCAATTTGGTCTGTAGATACTATAGAGGATATAGAGGAGAGAAAAATATTTTTATGCTGAGACTCAGTTATAGAATAGGTAGCTGCTTCGCTTACTTTCTTCTAATATTGTTTATCAAATATGTTAAATGTTTATGTATATATGACTTCATGTTATGGGAGAGCAGAAGGCGTAGCCATAATGTGTATAAATCAAGAGTCTAGTCGCTTCAGCATAGTTCATCTGGCTGAAACTCCATGACAGCTAAAGATTTTAAATGGTACTGATAGCTATATCTCTATAAAATGGATTAGAACTAAGCTTTAAGAATGTGTAAATAATTGTAATATTTTATTTATTTTTTTAGAAACTTTAAGTTTTTGTCCAGTTTTGTTGTGCTCTTAGAGAACTAGAATTGTTAACGATAAAAGTATAGAAAACTATATAGAAATTTAAGTTAGGTATCAGATAGAAATCAGTTCAAGTTAGAATTTAAGCGCATTTTTGGTTAAATGATTTATTGAATTAATCAATTAACTTTTAGTACATCTACAACGGAAGAGGCAGCCAAGCCAAGAGTTTTGCGTTTCACATGGTCTATGAAGACGACATCGCCGCTGATGCCCGATCAAATCATGCAGAAGATAAGGGAAGTTCTTGATCAAAACAACTGCGACTATGAGCAGCGCGAAAGGTAAGGCTTACATGAATACAAATATATATAGAATATATAAAATTATACATATTTTTGCATTCTTCGACAGATTTGTACTCTGGTGTGTACATGGCGATCCCAATACCGATTCTTTGGTGCAATGGGAAATCGAAGTTTGCAAGTTGCCGCGACTCTCATTGAACGGCGTTCGCTTTAAGCGTATTTCTGGTAAGCATTCATCTTTGAATTGTTCATAGGAAGTGGTTTTATTTATTTTTTTTTGCAGGTACTAGCATTGGCTTCAAAAACATTGCGTCTCGCATTGCTTTTGATCTCCGCCTGTGACTTGATAAAACGACTAATGAAAGCTGCACAGCCACCACCAGCACCACCGATGGCAGCGATACGAAAACCACCTCCACTGCCAATAATCAAATGGCTGAAAAATCGTTGCTGCGTCGATCATTTAGTCAACAACAAAGATCAAATCGATTCAAGAATCGGAATCGCCCAAAGAAGAGGTCAGGCGGCGGCGGCGGCATGCTGTCGTCAGCTTTTCAAGTCTACTTGCCCTTCCGATCAAAGGAGGAGGAGAATATGAAATCACAAATCAAATTTGATGCGTTTCGCTCAGTCGATAATGAATATGAGAGTGAGGGGCAGCGTGCACAGCTAGAGTCAATGCCCAGTAACAATATTGAATCTCAAGATAAAGACAACAAAACCAAGGCCAACGAGGGTGGTGGTGAGTGTGTGGCAATGGCTGGTGGCAGCAGCAATAGCGGCAGCGGCAGCAAAGGAAATCGATTTAAAAGAAACATCAAGAATACTAGAAGTCTAATTGTGCGCAAATTCACATCAATCAACTCCAACTCCAACGCCAACTCCAACTCCACAGAGAAAAAACCATGCGAGACTAACAACAAAAAGAGCACATCAAAGCACCCAAGTGAGATGGCAGAGCAAAATGCAAATGCGAATGTTATGGATAACGATAAACCAAACACCAAACAGAAAAAAGTAGCTATGTTACGCACCACTACTCTCTAAATAATAATAATAATAATAATTATAATACATGCATGAAACATATATAAATTGGAAAGATCGGGGCGATGCCTATCTCTCTCTCTCTTTATACATATATATGTTATATATATAATATATGTATTTGGCTCCAATCATAGTATGAACACGTTTAGCATAGAATCTCAAAGTAAAAATTAATGTTTCATTGATCTATCGCATATTTGAATATCTTATAACAGCAGACAAATTGTAACCACAACTTAAGAACATAAGCACCAACAACAACAACAACAACCAGAGCAACAACAACAAGCATAAACGCATCCCATATATGAAGCTAATGTCTCACTTATTATATATTGATATTGATATCGTTAATTGCTAGAAAGCGTAGGTGAGAGCCACACCGTTTTAATTCAATAAAAAATATATATACATAAAAATATATGAAACGAAAAAGCATTTTTTACAAGCGACAAAACATACATCAAAGAGGCACACATAAATTTTGTTTATATATAAATTTAAGTCACATATTATTCATATTTTTTGTTTGTCAAAATTTACTGATTTGATCCAAAAATTAATATAAATTTTGTTGCTTTTTGCATGAGCGTCTACTATAAAATCTATCAAATTTCTTAAATTATGTTTTTTTTTGATTATTTAATTCTTTCTCTACACGAGCTACAAGCGATATAAAAAAATGTAAATTGTATTTATATAATTATAATTATTTAACCACTTCTAAATATTAGTGTTTTGCATTTAAATTTATTTCAAGTCTTTTGGCTTAAATAGTTTACACAAATATTTATCATCATTCAGAGTTAAGAATGGCGAAAATCTGAATTGAAATTCTGGGTTCTTGTTGCTGAAAATTGTCTTCTTTTTTGGGTTCGCTGTAGAACATTTATAGCGGTTTCTAAGGTAAGTACATCATACAAAGCTATATGAAATCCATTACAACTGGTTCATTAGGGTACAAATTTTGAAGTCAGATTAAAAACTACCAAACATATATATATAATTTCATAAATCAATTTTACTTAATAAAAATACCAAAATTATCACAATTAATATAATTCAATATGCGTTAATTAAAAATTTCAATTGTACATAAATAAAATGGAATCTCTTCAAAATAAGGTTTCGATTAAAGCTCATCGTCAAGATCGAAGGTTTCAGGCGGAAAATCGCCCACCTCCACGGACAGAGGTGAGACAAAGCCTCCATAATTTGGTGGACAGACAAAATATGATTTGCCGCCAACGCTGTAATGTATAATAATAATTCACATATTTAATATCATTTTAACTGTATAGCTATACGCATCTACCTTCCATTATTCTTGCCCAATGGCTCATCATACTGCACGCCTATAAAAATACCATTTTTACCCTCAAGTTGCCCATTGTACATGACAACACCACGACGTGTTGGGTTTCCTGCCACAGTCACCTAGGGGGTGCGTGTGTGTGGGTGTGAGAGAGAGAGAGAGAGGGAAAGAGAGAGAGAACACGATAAATGAGTAAGCTTGACTGAGTAATAGTAGCAGGCAGTAGTTACCTGACAACGACTGCCTACAACACAGAGATCTGCCCGTTTCTGCATCTCTTCAGCTTGCTCACGCCGCTTGATTTCCATCTGTCGCATTTCCTCTTCATTGTATTTGCCGAGCCGATTTTGCTTTAAGAAATTCCGCACAGAATCGGTCCGCTGCTCGTATTGGTCCTTTGTTAGCTCAAATTTTTCAACCGTCTCGGTATCAAATGTGAAATTCACAAATGAATCAATAACATGCAGCCGCAAGCCATCGCAATTGGCATAGAAACCCAGTTTGGCATCATTGTTGCTTAGCGTCGTCACAAGAGTGTCGCCTTTATACAACTCTACTTTCATGGTTCCAGCGCTTCCGCCGGTTAAGATTTCCAATTTGCTCTGTGAAAGCAGAATTCGCACAGCTGTTATTGGTTTTTATAAAAAATGTACTTAAATGCCCACCTTCAGCTGAGAGATGGTCAAGTCCTTGGCGAACTTCATCTCAAATGCTACGGCATCATTATGAGAGTTCGAGACGTTAGCTATAATAAAAGCTGAATCCGAATTATTCATTTGCAGTATTTCCGACATGTTTAGCTTTAGCGTTTGTCGTCACTTAAGGCCGAGCCGATAACTCTTTACGATGACCGATAATTTCCAATAAGATATTGAATGAATTTTACGATGTGTGTGCGTAAGTTTTGATAAACTTTAGTGGCAGTTGCTGCTATGAATTTGAAAGTTTTTACGTATATAAGTTTTCGAGTTAAGTGTGAGCAGGTATGTTTCTTTGTCTAAAGTCAAATCATTTAAAAAAATACTGCCATAATTTTGACTGTTGAGAAAATATCAAATGATATATTTTCCAATTAGAAAGTTCAATGAAGCTACATCGATACAACATTGAAACAGTTCACTTCATATACACATGAGTATATCGATATTTGTGTACATCTCTAATTAATGCACAAATCAGCTGCTTAAAATCCTTACAAATCGAGTTTAAGAGATGTGAATTAAGGGCAATGCAAAATATATGGCAATGGTGTATATATATAAAAGTATATATAGATTATTCTGATACATGATACAACATGTAAATCAGTGAACAAAGCGAAAAAATGAATAAATACACGAGTTTATTAGGCGCTGAACAGCGGAGCAAAACTATGTATCATCCAAAGGAACAAATTTTGAACATCTTGACATACATACTTTTGCTAATAGTCGCTGTGTGTGCTACTGTGCTGCTGTGTGATTTATCTAGTCAGCGGGATGGGTTCTTCTACTCCAAAAAAGATTCAGCCGTACTCGATCTGTCCATATCCCATACTCAGGAGGTGCTTCTGCGCCCGGACACGGAACATCGAGGACAAAATGTGAACTGCACGTTTTGGGACTGCTTAAACATTTACAAATGCGAGCATGACACACTGAAAGTGTATATCTACCCATTGCAAGAGTTTGTGGACGAGAAAACGGATAAAGTGGCCAGCACATTGTCAAGCGAATATTTTCAAATCTTGGAAGCTGTGCATAAGAGTCGCTATTACACATCAAATCCAAATGAAGCCTGCCTCTTCCTGCCTAGCTTGGACCTACTGAATCAGGATGTGTTCGACAAGCATTTGGCTGGTCCAGCTCTGGCTTCGCTCAACTTCTGGGATCGTGGAGAAAATCATTTAATCTTTAACATGCTGCCGGGCAGTGCACCAAACTATAACTCGATTTTGGACGTGAACATCGACAATGCCATTGTTTTGGGTGGCGGCTTTGATAGCTGGACGTATCGGCCCGGATTCGATGTATCGATACCAGTTTGGAGTCCGTTAGTGCATCAAACCAACTTGTTGCCAATTCATGCCGCAGCCCATCGAAAATATTTATTAGTTTCTGCTCAGCTAAATCTTTTACCGCAGAATCTGCGAACTCTTACGGATCTAACGGCTAAAAATACCGAGCAAATCCTAATGCTGGGACTCTGTGATAACAAAGACTTGAAATCTCGCTGCACCTTAGCAAAGCCAAATCAAAAGCGATTGGAATACCCACGCGTGCTGGGGCGAGGCAAATTCTGCTTTCTGGGCCGCAGTCTCCGTGTTGGCCAGCCCGATTTAGTCGAGATAATGTCTCAGGGCTGCATTCCGGTGATAGCCATTGACAACTATGTGCTACCCTTTGAGGACGTCATTGACTGGTCCCTGACAGCGGTGCGTGTGCGAGAATCCGAGCTGCACTCAGTCATGCGCAAATTGGAAGCAATTTCAAATGTAAAAGTTGTCGAAATGCAAAAGCAGGTGCAATGGCTATACAGCAACTATTTCAAGGACCTGAAGACCATGACAATTACGGCGCTGGAGATACTTGAGAGTCGGATATTTCCTCTGCTGGCGCGCAGCAGTCGGCAATGGAATGTGGTCAATAAAAATAGTCATTCAACGTTCAATCCGCTCTTCCTTACTTCTCTCGCCCCAAAGTCTCAAGGCTTTACAGCTGTCATTTTGACCTATGATCGAGTCGAGAGTCTCTTCCTTTTGATACAGAAACTAGCAGTTGTGCCATCGCTTCAAAGCATTTTGGTCATTTGGAACAATCAGAAAAAGATGCCACCACATTGTAAGTTTATTATTCTTAAATGTAACAACAATTAATGTGGTTTTTTTTTAAATTCTTTTACAGTGTCCACGTTCCCAACGATCTCCAAACCACTGAAGATCATACAGACTCGTGAGAATAAGCTCTCAAATAGATTTTATCCCTATCCTGAAATTGAAACTGAAGCAATACTCACAATAGACGACGATATCATTATGTTGACCAGCGATGAACTTGACTTTGGGTATGCCAGACAAATGAATGTAGATTAATCGACATTCTATATAATCGTTTCTTTCAGATATGAAGTGTGGCGCGAATTTCCGGATCATATTGTCGGCTTTCCCAGTCGTATTCATGTCTGGGATAATGCAACGATGCGTTGGCACTACGAATCGGAATGGACTAATCAAATATCAATGGTACTTACTGGGGCGGCTTTTCATCATAAATACTGGAGTCACATGTATACGTACGCAATGCCAGGCGACATTAAACATTGGGTCGATGACCACATGAACTGTGAGGATATCGCAATGAACTTTCTTGTTGCAAACATAACAAACAACCCGCCTATTAAAGTAACGCCGCGCAAGAAGTTCAAGTGTCCCGAGTGCACAAACACTGAAATGCTGTCAGCCGACTTAAATCATATGCGGGAGCGTTCGGCTTGCATTGATCGATTTTCAAAGATCTACGGACGAATGCCTCTTCGCACAGTTGAGTTCAGGGCAGATCCTGTTCTATTTAGAGACAATTTCCCAGACAAATTGAAGCGTTACAATGATATCGGAAGCTTGTAAACTTTAGATTATACAAATATCATATATTATACTTAGCAGACGAAATTACTGAAGACTTAACCAAATATGATATATCAATTAGTGTAATCTGGTATTTTAGTAATGATAACACGAAAATAATCTACGTTCTTAAGCTTTTTGTGTTGTAATTTGTAAACATTTCCAAATAGTTTAAAACAAAGTAAACAAGTAGAAATAGCAAATAGTCTGACGTTAAATTAGATACTTGATTAAATCTAAAACAAAAAAGAATTGAATTGAATTGAAAGAATTGAAAGAAATATACATTTTGTATTCGATGCATAAAATAGTTATTGGCCATATGTAAATCTAGAACTTAACCATTTAATTTGTCATTTAAGAGTAGAAAATATAGTTATGTAATTCAAGAAAGATTTGACAAAAAATAATACTATTTAAAACGTATTCATCAATTAACACTATTAAAATTGTAATTTTTGTTATACACTCCGAGTAATATAGTTATTGGATGGTGAAAAAAATAAATAATCGTCAATCATCATTACCTTTTAATTAATGTATGTATGTAGATTTCTCAAATCATGAAACAGAATTTCGAGTGCTGAGCAGATTTTTAATTTTATTAAATATATAAATGTTTTACTCCAATTATATGTAAATGCAAAAATCTAAGGCTGGATTTAACTGTGTTGCTGATAAATTAGTATAGTTTATATAATATCATTCGAGGGCAGTCAATTTTACGCTCCATTAACTGTAGCCAGATATTCTTTATAGCGTTGCTCTTGCTGTTGTTGGAGCTTTTGAAGTTTTTTGAGTTGTCCTTTGCTAATCTCTTTGCCATCTTTGTCGTGCGTGGGAAGACCCTAAAATGAGTGTTGATATATTACTTGAATGTTCATCCGAAGTATAATCATATATATATTCAACTTACATCTTCGCCAAATGCCGAGTACTTTTCTGTTTCATTGAGGAACATCTCTTTTGGATTGACACGACGTTGAGCTTCTTTAGCTGCCGCTGCCTCTGCCAAAGCTTGTTTCTTACGCTCTTTTTCCAATGCCCGCTCCGCTTCAGCTGCCTGCTTGGCCTCGCGTTCGCGCAACAACATATCTCGGTCAACCAGTTTGACGGCATACTTGCCATCATCTTTATCCTCCAATCGAACACCCAAATTGGGTAACACATCATCACGGAGATCATCACACAGTTTCAGTATGTCAAATGCTTTTAATGCCTTCGCCTGCTCACGAACCAAGTTACGGAATTCGGCCACTGATTGGACGTAGGGCATTACCACAGCCTCGTGATCATCAGTTGCTGATTTGGATTTAGCTCCTCCCAACGGAAATCCAATGCCACCGCGCGGGCCAGCGATTGCTCCAAATATATGCAACAACTCTGTAACATAAACGGCAATCTTCCGAAGCAACAGGTTGTTAAGCCTCGTTTTATTGTCTCGTATATAAATATTCGTAGTTGACACCAACTCCCGAACACAATCTAAAGCGCTGCGCGTATCAATGTTATCTATTAAAAGAAGGAACAATTTCAGATTTCTGTAACATAATTAAAGTACTAGAGCTTACCACAGAGAGCTGCATGCACTTGCACCTGCGCCTCGTTAAATTTCGTTTGTAGTGCCGCCTCCACAGCAGTCCATTCACTAAACTGCTGCATTGGCTCTCCAGATATCACCTGGCGTGTTATGTCTTTGACATTCAAAAAGAATTCCTAAACAATGCAAATATTAGTTTGGGTATGAGGTTGGTTGACTTAAGCTTACATTAAGGAATTTTTCATACTGAGTGGCCATTTCCATAGTGTTTTCCGAGTAGTCCAGCGTATCTTTCCAAGAGTGCAACAGAAATGCGAGACGCAATTGCGTTGCAGAGTGCTTTTTCAATGCCTCTTGTATTGTTACAAAATTCTTAAGAGACTTGGACATCTTGCAGCCGGCAATTGTCAAGTGGCCAGTATGCAAGAAATACTTAACCCATTCTGATTCACCGAACGCAGCCTCCGACTGTGCCAGCTCATTGTCATGATGTGGAAACTTTAAATCGACACCGCCAGTGTGAATATCAAATATAGATCCAAATATATCTGAAGCCATAGCTGAACACTCGATATGCCAGCCAGGACGACCACGACCCCACGGACTATCCCACCATGGCTCGCCAGCCTTGCTGGCTTTCCACAGGGCAAAATCGTTGGCTGATCGCTTTTCTGAGAGTCGATCCTCAGTAACGGACAGATCACCCTCGCCTTCCTGCAATGACGCTGTGTCTCCATAGGCTTCGGGCACCAATTTCGCATAGTGATGCTTATCGCGTTTGTCAAAGCCATTAACATCAAAGTAGACAGAACCATTTGCTTCGTAGGCAAGGCCGTTATCAATAATGCGCTGTATAAATGCAACAATCTGAGGCACATACTCCGAAACTCGCGTTAATACATCAGGTGGTAGAATCTGAAATTATTTAATCATTTAACCAAAAATTCTTAAACATAGCCAGTTAACTTACATTGAGTGACTTCATATCATTGTGAAATTTATCCTCCCAAAACCTGGGAAGCGCTTCGAAGACGGTGTTATCATTAACATGAGCACCTTGTTTCCCATCTATCCACTCAGCAATCGGGTCCTTTGCTTCAGCTAAATAATGGGTCCTCATTTTAATAATTTCTGCTTCGTTTCCATTGCTGACGGCTTTGGTTAGACCTTCCACTGCATCATTCATGCGGTGTAACATCTTTTCTAGCATGACTTTCTTATCTGCATCTGTATTTTTATCACATTTGACTTGTAACAGACTGAGTACTTCTTTCTGCTCGTTTAACAATTGCTCGAGTGGCAACTGAGCTGCTGCAGTTGCGTACTGCTCAAATAGATGATACTGACGGGCTCTCTTTATTATTTTGTCGTCGATATCGGTGATATTCATGACGTAGTGGATGTTATAGCCAAAGTAGTCAGCCAATATACGTCGCAGAATATCAAAAGATATGTAAGATCTGTGAAGCATGCAAGCACATCAAGATTAGATAGGAAAGACACTGAGCATGCTGATGTGGCTCACCTAGCATGTCCCATGTGCGAAGCATCGTACACAGTTGGGCCGCAGCTATACCACTTAACATTGTTTCCGTCCAAAGGTACGAATTCCTCCTTTTGTCTGGTAAGACTATTGTACAATTTTAATTGCGGCCGTGTTGAGGCTTTTGGTGCTTGCCACACCGGTTGTACACGTTTCGACATTTTGGTACTTCCTTTAATAGCGTTCTTAAATTCCAGCACGATTAGTAATCGATGATTAAAACTCGATGAAGCCTTGACATCAGCTGTTTGAATCGTTTACCTCGCAGAGTTGCTAACAAAATAAATCGATACATGTGTTTACCGGCCAATACTTATAGAATGCAATTTTAAAATATTTTGAATATCTTATGTTCAAAAAGATTTGGTTATAAATATTTTGCTTTGTAAGTTTGTTTTTATTGAAACAAATATTTTTGAATGGACCCCAACATTAAAAAATACCAATTCGAAAATATTGATATACCTAACATTATTCTGTCTAATCTACATGCAGAAAACTGTATATTTGTAGTATACGAAGCCACTATCTAGATATCAGATTTTATATTATTTGTCATAAATACTTAGTTAATGCTAGTGTTAATAGTCCTAATTGCCGCCAAGGGGCTGTGATTTGCAGGCGATCATATAGACTGGAAAAAGTCCTTTGGGGAAATTTTGTTGACGCACTTTTCTTACAATTCGAAAGCCAGCTTCCCTTAAAATACGCTCATATGATTCTAGCGGGCGCGTAATCGATGAATCCTCGTCATCTTTAATCACCTCCTTCGAGGTGCTGACATTTTCCTTAATGCACAAGTAAGCACCTGGCTGCAAACTGAGACGCATGCGACGAAAAAATGCCACAAGGTCCGGATCCGTCAGATGTCCTAAAACCCATTGGCTCCAGATCAGGTCATATTTATGCGTGGGTGAGAACTCCTGAAGCCCCATATTGTATACTTCACCCAAGCTATTGCGACATACGGACTCTGATGTGCATATCTCTCGTGCCTTCTCAGCAAATGCGGCATCTTGTTCAACCAGATCAACTGTTTCAAAAATCGGTATTAAAAGATTTCGAGACACTCGTCCAATTCCAGCACCGCAGTCCAGAGCTAATTTTTTCCCTGGTACCTTAAGTTCGCGTAAAAATATCCTTGACCCTTGTATATCGATTGCGCTGATGTAGCCCAGACCACCCAGCATGCCGTTTACTGTTGCTGGAACTGCGGACCAATATTTTTGTGCTTTGTTATAGAATTCAGGTACAACCTTTTCATTTTTCGATTCGTTCGAACTTGGAGCTTCGTGTTCCGCTTCTAGCGCTTCATGTTTACAGTTGTTTACGTCTTTGGAAAAATGTGGTGAATCCTCCTCGGCAGTGAGCGGATCTGTATCTAACTTACAATACATTTTCGTTGTTGTACAAGTCTAGTTATAAAATTTGTAGATAAATTGTAAATAGTTAAATTATCCTCATTACCACTTACCGCATACTTAGATTAAATAATTACAAATAAATGTGCGCAGGGCTGCATCATTGGTAGTTAAAAGTAACTAGTTCTTTGGAGTACAAAACAAAACTCGCCTAGATAAGTACTTCAATTTCATTTGTTTTCACGTTTTATTTAGTTATTTATTTTTGCATATCATTTTAAAAATTAACCTTTTTTTATTTCCATAGGAACGTTTAATAGTTGACATAAATTACAAGGCAATGAACATCGATATAAAATGTACTCGATACACTATCGAGACGGAAAAAAATAATCAACAGGCATAAATTTGTTAAAGCTGCACAAGCTTAATATATTTATTTTCTTACAAATAAATATGACTCTTGACGTCGATGCTCAAAAGAAAGATGATAAGCTATTACTGGCAACAATACACCAGGAGTATAAAATTCTGGCAGAATAGTAAGAATTAAAATATATCACATTTACTTTTGCAAACAATAACAAACTACTTTTTTTTATAGCAAAATGATTGAGTCAGAAAAGGTCTCAGGCATATATGTTATTCCAAGCTATGCTAATTCGTTGCGTATGTATATTATATTGGAAATATTAAAAATCGATAGTATAATCCGTATTTAATGTATTTTTTAGAATGGTTTGGTGTTTTCTTTGGTCGACAAGGCTTCTACGAAAATAGTGTATTCCGTTTCTCAATACTGTTGCCTGATGGGTTTCCAGACGATAAAACTATTCCAGTAAGAGGCTAAATACGTATATTATTTTTATACTTTTATAATGACGTGTATGTTGTTTATACATTTAAGGCCATCGTCTTTCAACAAAACGTTGTGCATCCACTTGTATGTCCTTACACAAATAGCTTGGACATCAGTCATGCATTCCCGGAATGGAGATGCGGAGAAGATCACCTTTGGCAAGTGCTGAAGTACATGCAATTGATATTCGCCGATCCATTGGACTGTATTCGTAGCATGGGTAACACCCAGGAGCTGAGCAACGTGGAAGCAAGCAAGCTGCTAAGCACTAATCGAGACGCATTTGCTGCACTTGTTCAAGAGAGTATTATAGAGAGCAAATCCCATATCTATGATACGCCACCAACAGAAGATCCGCATTACATAGTATTTGAAAAGTTCCAAGACGAATTACATGGACCGGTTTTAGATCAAATACGACACAGAAGGAATGCAAATGCGCCGACAGAAAGTGGGGGCAGTGGCGCTGCCACTGGTCTATCGTGGGTTAAAGTTAAAGAAGGCGAATTTAAACCGTTAAGCATTGAATAGTCATAGTAAACAATGTATGTGCGTAAATTATATAACAAATTCTCTTAGTTAGCGTCCTACAGTCTTGTGAGATCTACAATTTAGAATTAAGTATGAACTTTTCACAGTCTTTAATCCACTCATGCTCCAGCTTAAGTTCAGTATCATCCCAACGAAAATGTGTTGGCGGCTTCTCTTCGCTTGTAAACACGAAGTTCTGGCTAAGCTCAATGGCCAATTTGGAACGCACTAGCCCGATGCCACCTACTTGCGGCCAAGCTGGATGATACACTCGTCCGGTTTTCGGGTGCATATAAAGCTTATGTGGTTGAAAGGGAATCGATAAGTCTGGACCACCATGTGCGTATGTTAAAACATGATCAGCTCGGCCACCGGCATCCTTCTTTAGGTGTTCAGTGAATACAATGGGTGTGTCATCACAACGAATATAATTCCTTTCACGACCACAAGGCGACATGTAGGGAAACATTTCGTAACGCTGTGTTGCATTTACACGCAGGCGGCTGAAGAAGAATTTTAAAAATTTCTTTTCCTTAAAACAGGATGTGAAGTTTTTCATTTTGGCATCATCTAAAAAGAGCTGCAAGTGGAAAGCAAAGGGCAACAAGAATACAAGAATAACGGCACATATACATGCATACATCTACATACATGTATCTATATACATGTACGTGAGGGTATGTTGTGCATACACACCATGCCTTCGTGATCGATGTAATAGAAGTATTCACGTATCCTTGGTTCGGGCGACTGTCCCTGGGTATAGATCGCGACAGTGCGCCGGGGAATCCAATTAAATTTCCAATTTTTAAACACTAGGTTCTTCGTGTGGAGTACAGCAATACCTTGATCGAGGAAAGAATTCGATCAGCTGTTTGTTTACAATGCAATGTAAATTCTGTGTAGGTATGTATGTATATTATGGAAATTTAACTTGAAATTTTCTTTAAATTACATTATATATATGCATGTATATGGATTTGGGTGACAGTCTATTTTTTCTTTTTGTCATTAGTACTGCCGGACTTTTGCATGCGACCCACTTGCATGTTTTTTAGCTTTTCATTTAGTTTCTTTTTAGCATTTTTGTGCTCCTCCTCTTGGCGTATGGTCTTCAATGGCTTGGGATGTAGAAATTCTTTCCGGGCTTCCCGCTTCTTGAGTTCACCACAGCCATGAACCTCGGGCAGGCCGTGCTTAAAGCAGAAACGTTTGCTGCAGTGCTCGCAGTCCTGACCCATTAGGCTTGTCCTGGTCTTACAGCGTGGGTAATCACACAAGTTATCGACTGTTTTCACGGCAGTGAGTACTTCGTCCAGTTTGAGATCGACTACTTGACTGGGTATGCGCTCCAAGAGCTCCAATGTATTGTTCGTGCCATAATTGACAGGTTTGCCAGGCTTGGTGGGTGGAAAAAGTGGCGAACTATCTACATTGTCTGAAGGCGACGCATTGCTACTGGCTGCTTTTTGTGGTTTCGGTTTGTCTACATATGCTCCACTTAGTGAAATGTTTTTAAACGATTGGAATATGATTATTACCTGCCATTGTAAATAATTAAGCTAAACAAGACTTTCGTCAACTTTAGACTCACGTTATACAGCACTGTTGATTAGCATATTTACTACAAAGATGAGGGTATTTTTTAGTATATTTTGTTAAATCAGAAGAACAAAATACAGGGTGCTGTTTATTTTATCGTTGTGCTTGAATCATGATGTGGTCGAAAATCTTAGGAGTTCCAAAGCCACAAATATCTGCTATCAAATACCAAATGCAATTCAAGCTTAACTGCTAAATAAACTGATAAAGTAAGCAATTATTAATATGCTGGTTAGTCAGCATTCAAACTTCATAAAAGACTACATGAAGCTATTCGTTGTGCTTTTATTTCTTTGTAAATATATACTAGATTGAATTCGCCGAGTTTAAATTTGTCGCTTTTACTTCCCATTATTATTTTATTTATCGATATAAAAAACTGATATTAAAACTTATCGATAAACATATGTTTTGAATCAAGCGGGCCTAACTAGATGACCCGTTACAAAAGACAATGGGAAAATAAAAAACCAAAATTTTGAGAACATATTTATTGGATTAAAGTATTCCAGCTGACATTGATTATAAATGTACTATAAAATGCTAAGCAGAGCTATTTAATACACTTGTATAATTCTAGAAAATGCAATCTCATAATGCATGCGGAAATTACTTGTAACTTGACAATATTTTTTAAATCTTTCCGAGACACGTTTTACGTAGGCCACCATATTAAGTTGTAAACTTTGTTAATTGATTTTCGTTGCTTATAAGTTAGCAGGATTTGAGGTCACAGCTGCATGAATAGCTTTTGCTACATATTCAATATTTCCTGTGTTCAGGCCGCACATATTGATTCTGCCAGTTTTTAGCAAATAAATGTGATATTCCTTGATCAATATGGCCACTTGTTTCTCATTGAGACCTGTGTAGGAGAACATGCCAATCTGGTTAACAATGTGATCCCAATTGCCAGGCGTTCCCAATAGAACAAGCTTGTCGCGCAGAAGTGAGCGCATTTCCCGAATGCGACTTGACATGCTTTTGATGCAGTCCATCCACTCTTGCCGGAGTGCAGGTGTATTCAATACCTTCGATACGATGCGAGCTCCATACGCTGGGGGATTCGAGTATAGACCACGTACGAGGAGAGTTATCTGCGAATGGATCATGTTTCGAGTAGCGCCGCTTCGCTGTACTACCGTCAAGTTGCCCACTCGCTCGCAGTACAAACCGAAATTCTTAGCAAACGATTGGCAAACAAATAGCTCAAATCCTCGATCTACAAAGTAACGTATCGCCCAGGCATCCAGATCAGGATCACCGCTGGCAAAGCCCTGGTATGCTGAGTCGAAAAGTGGAAACAGTTTTTTACGTTCAATAAGATCGGCAATTTGTTTCCACTGGTCCTGGGTGGGATCCATGCCCGTAGGATTGTGTGCACAGGCATGTAAAATAATGACAGAGTCAGCCGGCGCCTTATCTAAGTCAGCGAGCATGCCCTCTAAGTCCAGCTGACGTTTGTTTTGGTCCCAATAGCGATACGAATTCAGGTTGGTAAATCCAGTATCGGCAAAAATCTTATGATGATTCTCCCATGTCGGATTCGAGTAGTAAACGGTATTACGCTTCAATTGATTAAATAAAAATTCAGCAGCGACACGCAGAGCTCCTGTTCCAGATATCGTTTGCACACCAAAGGCCTAGAATATAATAAATATGAATTATATGTGTAGAAACATAAAGATATCTATTTGTTCGCATTTTAATAGAGCTTACTATTCTTTTTTATATTACTTTCTATTATATATTCTTATACACAATATCGATCAAAATCAATGTTTCGATTTGGGTGAAAATAGTCTTAAACTACAAATTTCTCTGTTTTTTAAAGGTAGACCTCATATGGAATACTTACACGTTTCTCTTTTAATGCTACTGAATCCGCACCCAAGACCAATTCAGTTGCTGCATGCGTAAACGTATCCAGTCCTTAAAAATATGTATGAATATGTAATTAGTCAAGAGTTTATTGATACGTTTTCGATTCTCACCCGTTACTGGCAAATATTCATGATTAATTGTCTCATCGGTCGCGATTGACACTTCTGTTTTGCGCACCACGGGCAACACCCATGGCTGACCTTCGTTTGTTCGGTAAGCTGCAAATGAGACCAAAACATGAATCGCATATGAGAAATAAAAGAAATCGTATAAACATTCGGCAAACTATACGTAGTACAACAAAAATCAGATTACTTATAGACAAAGATCACTTTTAAGAGATATTGATAATTTTAACAGATCTTAACAACAAAAGTCTGATAATTTGATGTTCTTTGAGATGCTGTCTAAAAAACATATTTGAAATAAATTCAAGAAAAAACAATAAAAAATGCCAATCAATATCAATTTGCTCCCATTGATGGTGCCGGGAAATATATATATATATATATCGTTGCGTTTATTGAAGACAAATCAGCTGATATTTGATAAGATAAGAAATTAATGATAAGGGATTAAAGTTCAATTTATAAAAAAATTCACTGCAAATGATTATTGAATAATGTTATTGGGCACATAGTTCATAATCTGTTAAATAGAATGAAAAACAATTTCAGTTTTTGACTAAGCAATTGACGTAGTTGACTTTATAATATATACATATAGGATAGTTCATCTATATAGATTAAATTTGTATATATGTATTTTCGTTCAATTTGGTGGGTATGAAAGCATAAATAGAAATATTATTTGGGCACATAAATACATATATTGCTATTGCTATAAACATATGTATATATATATGTATAGGCATTTATAAAGATATATGTATGTATGTACGTTGTTAACTGGCTAATGTAAGGAGTAACAGCTCATTGAGAGAAAGATTTGACATCCAAATGCCCTCTATACACTTACAAAGCTTACTTGATTTATAAGCTCACATGAGTACATACATACATAAATACATATGAATATTATACACCCATACATACATACATGGTAAGTAAATATCTCATATCTATTTAGCAAAACGCGAACTAGAGATGGGTCGGCAATTAGAACAGCATTCAATATGCATGGGAGACTTTAATAAGCACATATATGCACATACATACACATATATAGAGCTATAATTATAAGTGCATTCAGTTTGTATATAAAATATGAGCATAAAAATGTGTATAAATAAACGAACACTAAGCAAGGTCAAAATACCGAAATTATATAAATATTAATATATATGTGAATTCATAATTAAAACAAAAAGTGGTTTTAGTGTCACAATACATACCGCCCACAGACAAATTGACTTTTGGTGTATTAACGTCATCCCTAAATGCTTGCGTCAACGCAAACACTTCAATTGGCGGTCCTTGTTGCACATTGGCAAAAATTGTTGAAGACATTGTGCGTTGCAAATCCAAGCAAAACAATTATACTAAATAAACCTTTTACGTCGGCAAAATTCGATTGTAAATCAGCTAAATATCGATATACTCGATAATATTTTTGTTATATTATTAAATATCGATATGATAGTAAATATTATACCCTCAGCAAAAAACGTGAAATGCATAAAAATGTTTTTATTTTCTTGATTTGTTTTACATGTTATTAATTTATTGTAACAAACTCCATATAGCTATTTAATATATATAGAAAATTAGTTAACTATATTTTTGATAAGCAACAAGTGTTCAAGACACAACATTAGGGGCTTTACTATTGTGTATAGCAAGTGTGATTACATATTTTTTAGGATTTCTGCTTTACTTTGCAATAGCCACACCTATCATAAAGAGGCGGTAAAACAAAATGCAAACTTTAAGTGAGTTAAAATGTTTTAAAACGAAACTTAAAAATACTTAATATCTAAAATCAGTGATAAATAGTTATTGGTAACTATACACAGCAGTTTTTTTTATTTTATATGTAATCTTAAAACCTTACTTAAAACTCAGTTAATATAGTTACATTTGAAAGTTAGGCCTTCGTCAGCATAAGATAAAAAACTTTCTCATCTCGTAACGAAATTGCAACTAAAGTATGCTCCTATGGAATATTTCAACGAATGTCTGCTTAATGGATACACAAAATGCGTGTTTAAAAATAAAACGATATCGTCTATAAAGGTAAGATTAAACTAATAACTCGTGATATTTATTTTAGTTTTTTATCTATTCTGCAAAATCAAATTTAATTTATTTTGCATGTGAGCCACATAAATAGAAGAACGGCAGGTGTAAAATTCAAATTCAATGGAATCGCATTACTTGAATTTTTTTCAATAAGTATGAATTAAACTATAGGTATTTAGGTTAAAGTTAATTAAAATAATCAAATTGATTGATATATTATATTTATAAGAAATATTTATTTATTTATTTATTTATTTATTTATTTATTTATTTATTTAAGGCAAAGTAAATGTTTATATTGTTTTTTATGATAGAAAAGAAATGTAAAAAATATAAAGAAACTTTGTTTTTGATTATAACATTGAAAACTTTAAGAATTGAGTAAAAGCTACTATTTTAATAACAATGATAATAAATGATTATAATGATTATAATATTAGTACCTCAAAGTACTCGAATATATTTTAAAACTAATTTTACAACATTTCGAAGTGTATGTGCTATCTGTGCTATCTCAGCAAAAATTAAGTGATGCTATCTATTATAACTTGAAATGAATGAATATACATCAGCTTAATCTCTGTGTGCGATACCCCATATATGTATATATCCAATTTGGCATCCCAACGAAGGTCATCAATTGTTTGGTGCTTATGAAGAGCGTACGTTTATCAGATGTTCAAAGACGTCGATTTTATTTACAATTTCTTTAAGTGCATGATATAATAATCAGACGACATTTTCGGTGTAGAGTATTTTGATATTTATTTGCTGCTAACCAGTTCCAGGTCAGCTCAACGACCCAATGGCCTTGTGGAGTTTTTTAACCTACTAACTGATCAACACTCTTAGGGCAATATGTGACGTACTACCCCTTTCTGGACTTTCACACGTCGTGAACTGCGCAATTTAGGCAGAAGTTGTGCTTGCTCTTCCCTGTTTTTTCACAGTTTCAAGTTAACTGAAACAGTATGAGCTGTGCGAAATACTTTGCTAACAATCAAATTATTCACAAATCAATTTAAAGTAAAATTACTTTTATCGCCCTTAACGCGGCATCGCGCCAAATATTTTAAATTGCTTCTCTTTTCTTACTATGCAAAAGAGAAAACCTGTGAATGAGCGTGCCAAGCCATTTAAAGATGTTGCACTACTTCTCTCTCGGAAGGAAAGTGTCCACTTGCGTGCATTGCAGTGTGCATGCATACATGTGCACAATTAAGAGAACAGTTGAGTGTAAGCAAAAACCGTTGTTGCGGAACTGGTGCAGCGATAGTGGGCATCTCGATAGTGGGCATCCCGTTGCTCGTTGAAAGTATAAGAGTATACGATTTACAGAGTATAAGAGTTTAAGTAAAGTGTAGAAAGTGGTGGTAACTGCTTATACTAAACGTCTCATCTATGTATGTGTTGTGTGGTTGCTGATTCTATGCATATGTGTGTACAAACATACATACATACATACCAAAGCCTGCACACTCACATAGCTGGGCTTTAAGTCTATCAAACTTAATTGTTTGCTAGTTGCTGTTGGCAACAGAAATGTGTTTATCGGGTAAGCCTCAGCATGTAGTGGACAATTTTAGTTCGATTACGAAATGTCGAAGGCAACAACAATCAAGGAAGCGCTGAAACGTTGGGAAGATCGGGAGCAACAAAATTCGCTGAATGCTAAAAATATTGATTTGCAGTTTCAATGGCCACCTATCGAGAAAATGGATAATACGTTGGGAACTCTTGTGAACTGCGAGTAAAATCAGATACTAAAATAATTTCCTTTTGCTTTTCAAATTCCCTCAAATTATATATTGCAGAAGAATCAGCATGTCCACAAATATGATTGAGAAAATCTTTGGTCTGTCAGGCATGAAATGCTTGAAGGTTTTATCGCTGTCTCGGAATTATATCAAGCAAATATCGGGATTGGTAAGTTATCAAAAACAATTATCTATTATGACATATATACACATATAATATCTAGGAAGCTGTGGCAGAAACACTGGAAGAACTCTGGCTTAGCTACAACCTTATAGAAAAACTGAAGGGTTTGAGTGCACTAAAGTGCCTGAAGGTGCTTTACATCAGTAATAATTTAATCAAGGAATGGTCGGAGTTTAATCGACTGGCCGAAATAGAATCTCTGGAAGATCTAGTGGTTGTTGGCAATCCCCTGTCGGAGGGCCTAGACGAGCCCACTTGGCGAGCTGAGTGTATCAAACGCCTGCCAACTATACGAAAACTAGACGGCGAGCCCGTTGTGCTCAAAGAGGAGCCAATACTATAAATAGCTTAAACTAACTAAGTATAATAAACTATGAAAATATCTAATAATATATGATGATCAGCACCTGGAACTATATTCATCAGTATTTTTATACAAATTGCTTTATAGAATTGGTGAGAAATGTTTTATTTTGAGTCGAGCACGAGCGACTTCTTGAGGTTTGAAGGTCTGTTCAATGAGGTTGCGAAATTCTAAGCTTAACTATACTAATGCAAGCATGAGCAAAATCTTATCAACATCGGACGACTATATTATATACCTCCTATAGAAACAGTCGCTCAGAAATCAAATGATTCCACAAAAAAAAAATTAAAACTCATTTTTATGTTCTCAGAGGTATTTAATCTCTCTAATACCTTTTTTTTGGAATATTACCTAATTCCGCCAATAAACCCAGATCAAAATGTGAAACTTCTTGTAATTTCCAAGTAATACCATTTAATATCTATAAATATAATCATTTATGGAGTTGCACTTGGCCCTAGACCAAACCTGATAAAATTTGACCCAAGTTCTGCCTCGCCTAATGAATTACTCCGTTATCTTTCAAAGATTGAGGTAGGAATATTTCTGTTAATCACACACACTTTGGTAGATAACAGGTAGACTAAGCTGTAATCGAGACAAGCAAAGAAAAAACGTATATATAGATAAGTAAAGGTTATTTTAGATAAGATTATTTATATAAGCAAATACGCCCAGGCGCAGGTCTATTTAAAATAAAACATTATCTTATTATTATAAATGGAAAACTATGTGGAATCTACCGCCTTGATTAACGGCACGTGCTATGCGAATATAGGCGACAGACGGCTGCCGAAACATATTTATAAAGAAAAATTATTATCCGCCCGTCTGGAACTTCAAATACCCTACACTTGAATATAGAGTAGTTGAGCCATTGATATACTATTTACCACAATTCATAGAAATATTTATTACCCCAGTATTAAAATTTATAAAATCTACATATCATAAATTCATAATATGTATAAAGCTTGGTAAGACCAACTAGTTGTTTAAATACCCTACATTCTATTGCCAAATGCCTTATTTAAAATGGAAAAGTTTCTCAATTGCATTTTTGCTAATAAAATTTTATAAATTATAATTCAAATATTTATAGATAGACGAAAAAACAATATATATAGTTTAGTTCAGCTGGCTGGCAGTTCGAATACCCTATAATGTTTAGCTAACAAATGATTATAAATAATAAATATTAAATAAATAATAAATATTTTATCATATAATAAATAAGGTAATCCTTATATATACTGTCAACATCTCTAATAGGTGATTAAAAATAGTTAAGCCTAGCAATCGCTATAAAAACTGAAAACTTTTGATTGTGCGCGTGCGTCGTAGACGCTGAAATTTGTTGTTTGACAACCTGTCTGGATGCCATATATACAATAATCGTACGACATGTTTGGTCATTTGGTCAATTTGATACTGAACCTGATTCGCACTTTCGCTGACCTTCGCCGGAGTCGGCAATGACAGCTGCGGCTCTGCTATCGGCCCAGTTATCAGGGCTTTAGTCAATATCTATAAACTCTCTGTGTGGCATCTAAGTTTTATATTTTAATTAATTAATTATGCCAATCCGATTGCAGACCCGAATCTAAGTTTTCAATACCAAAATTTCGTTATCAATGACTATAAGTATTTCATATATATGCTATAGACGATTGTATAATTACGTGAGAGTGAAGGAGGGACACATAAGAGAGAGAGAGAGAGATTAGATGATATGCAAAATGTGTCTATTGATCCACTTTAACAGCGAAATAGAGGCAGAGCTGGAATAAACTTGATATTACTGGACCTCCATTGAAAAAAACATCATAGGGAAATTTATAGCTTCAGATCTTGTGGGTATTAGAAGTATTCCATATAAGAAATGAGTGAATGGAATTGGTAAACTGATAGAAATGATTTAAGTTTCTGGCTTCTATTTAAATCGACCTATCACTGTCTATATTTATATATATTTTTTTCTAACAATAAGTCTATTTCTATATCTTTGCATCTATACACTATACATTTATAACTTTCTATCCATATATATCTTTATCTTTCCATCTATCTATTAATATCTTTGGAAATCTATCTATCTCGAGCTATTAATATATATTTCGCTATAATTATACTATTCAACACTAAATTTAAACTATTAACTATTATTAGTTAGGCGTATCTGTAGAGCATGTACCTGCATATACCTGTAATTAATTAATTTCGCACCTAGTAATATGTATAATAAAACCAGACACGCTGAACACTCATTAGCATAATTAAATACACTGCAACTGATTTTTAGCTCTCATTGAATAGAATATAAAAATAAATAATATATATGTCTCTCTGTCTAACACTATAATTGTATAACTTATAGAAAGAAATATATATTTCGATCTTAACAAACAGTCAAGTCAATCTTCTGATTTGTGCCTATCAGTTCAACTTATAGTCTGTCTGTCTATATATATGTCTATACACATGTAAGTATGTATGTATGTATATATATATATATATGTATATATGCCTGTGTACTTCTCGCTCTTATCTACAAGAGCTGTAGACACCTAAAAAATTGACATAAGTTTCTTACTTACTTTTAGTCTTATACTTATGTAATATATATACATATGTCTATGTGTGACAGAAAATGTATAACTTTCTGTATTTTTCGTGGTCCTTAATACGATTGCCACATTTGGTCAATGGAAAAATCAATATAAGCGTATTATTATATTTAGTTTTATTCCATTCACATTCTTATATATATATACTTAGTTAATATTTATAAGTGCATATATCTATATATTTGCATATATACGTATATATGCAACAATGTCAAAAGTGCGAGTGTATAAAAGGTACATGTACTTTAGGTACCTGCAAAACAGCTGTTTCTCTCCTTGGGCCTTAACTAGTTTACTCTTAGCCGGCCTCTGACTCTCACACACATGACACAATTCTGCGTTAGTTGTTGTTGTTTTTGGGACAAAGTACACGTTTATTTGTTATTGCTGCCGTTGACGGCTGTTAAGCGTACGCACACACAATTCGAAAGTACGAGAGCCATCCACTAAAAATCGAAGCGAAAGAGCGAAAAGCAGACAGAGTGAGAGAGAGAGTGAGCAAAGAGAGAGCGCGGGAGAGACTGTGGGCAGCCGCCACCGGCAATACAGTGTAAACTTTCAAGTTTTTCAGACGGCGTCCGTCAGTTGAATGTTAAGCTTTGGTGTCAGCCGTACGCAGTGCTCGAGCTCCCGGGCAGAAACAGTTGTGAAATATTCAACGTAAATTGTACCGAGGTGGTCTACCTTCCCAAACAGAAATTCAACGCACATACAAATACATATGTATGTATTACATGAAAAGAGGCAGGCACACACATCTATGCATATACATTCGTGTGTTAGCTAGTTGCTAATTCTAAAGAGTAATTCGTTAATTCCTTGTGTTTTTTATCTGTGTTGAAGTTTATTTTGTCGATTTCAAAACCACGCTAGTTTATATAACAGTTATGTGATTTATACATATTGCTAAATTGTACTGCATAAATAGCTACATACACTATAACTGTACAATCGTCTTATATTATTTCAACTGTTTTTAGTTATTGAAGCGTGTGCAAACCGTGCGGGAAAGTTGAATTGAAAGTGTGCTCGAAAGATTTTATCCAGGGATAATAACAGGGAGCAGCTGGACATATTGTAATTCCAAAGGTATGTACATACATATGTAAGTGGCTATATATGCACATATATATAAATATATATAATTATATATATGTATGTGTGTATTTGCGTGCATACTAAAATGCTAATTGATACGTAACGACCACTTATGTATGAATGTAACTGCACTTTTAGAATCTCGCACATATACATATGTACATAGACAGCCACATATACATGCATACGTATAGATGTATAAAAGCTACCCCTACTCCCTTCATTATCAACGCGAAATACTGTCAGTCTGCTGTTCGGGTCCATTTTATTATGCCCCATATATCTAGCCTTCTTATGGTTTCGCTGCCAGCCAAAACGTGCTTGACAAAATCAAGGCATGTGCCATCACTTACGTTAATACAATACATACATACATACGCACGCATATATACTTAGTGTGACGTATGTATAAAAACAGCGAATCAAATCAAATGGCAATGTGGATAAAATAAAAAAATATTTGTATTATGAATTTCATAGCCTAAAAGTCACGCAGCGTACAACAAATCAAAGTTTAGCTATTTAATTTAATTGCTTTTATTGCTATCGCATTCAAAGATACTTTGTGTGACAATCAATCAAAATTGACGAGCAACGAATGTTTATTATTTGCATGTACGAATACTTTTTTGACTCAGTGCGCTGTCTGCGAACTAGTCCTAGTTCCTTTTTTGCGACGCAGACTAACAAATACATGAAAGACATGTATGTGTGCTTGTGTGTATGTCATAAGACATATACGTATACGTATATCATCTGCAAGTATATATGTAGTTAATATAGTTTTTTTTTCGTTTGTCACTTTATCATTTTAACGGATAATCAATGTGTCCAGAGCAGGCGCGGCTTGTGCCGCAGTGGAAACGTCTTTGACCTTAGCAACGTGTGCTCAAGATCGCGTATAAGTGTGCACACATACATACGAGCACTTCTATATATACAGACATACGTATGTGCGTATAAACGAATATAGTAAAAGTGAGCGGCAATCAACTAGCAGCGTAATCACCAAATCATTCGACCAAACCGAACGACCGACTGACCGTCTGACTGTTGTGCACATTCTAAGGCGGCTCGTCCGTCCGTCTGATTATTGCAATAATCATTACATAATCGGTCATTGCGGCAAGCATACATACTCTGTATACATGCATATATACGTGTATAAATCATTATATTGACACATGGGTGTGCGACCCGCACTCTTACACGTGTAAACAAAGAAAAAAGTCTTCATAAAATTGCGTACTCCTTAACTCCCAGTCCCAAAATAGTTGACCTATGAACGGGGTGTGTTAATTTACTGCC